CGTGATCTCCCTGTCTGCCAGGTACTAAACCTTAAGGTATTTGACGACAAACTAATTTCTGGTTTTGTTCAGCCGTTGCGACAAGACCTTGTGTTCTTCACTTCTTAAGAAGGCATATTCAATTATCATTTGGTTCTGTTCCAAGGCTACTCGGGGTAGCCACATTTTTACAATTCAAGTAACTGTCCGACAATGCGATCTGCAGCACAAAGTCGGACATTGTCATGCTGTTGAGGACGTGATTACTGTATCTGATCAATTGCATCTGCAGCTGATAATCGGGAAGAATGCCAGCCGAGCCCAAAAGTGCACGTTTTTCCTTCAAAAACAGATCTTAAATCTTAGCTCAAGGTCATGCTTACAAATGCTAAAACCAACCTTGAGAGCCCCTCACAGTTTGTAGCACAGAGAATAGCTTCTCTCGACACAGCTGATGCCCTTCTTCTCGCTTCTCTTTCCTACTGTTGCTCTATAAGGACAAGGTTTAGCTTGACGTAAGGAATCCATTATATACTGTTGCCATATTCAGCATCAGATGTAAGAGAAAATCAGTGAACTTCGAGAAAGGATATATAGTGTCACCGCTACATTGAGCCAGAACCATAGCAACATACAAACTTTGAATGCCTAGAAGAAAAAGAAAACAAGGACGACTTAATAAAACTATCCCTATAGTGAATAACCAGTATAATGTTACCTGCAGACTGAAAGATGTTCGCACGCATGGGATGCTTATTCGAACTTAGAATGACCCTCGTCCTCCACACCTGCACCATGTCATCCTTTGAAAGAGTCACAAGTAACCGCAACATAGAATGCCAGGCAAGAGCTGAAATTGGATTTGAACCCGCTTGAGTGCTGCCAAGTTCAATGAACATTTAGCATCCTGAAGCAAACCGGGAGACTTGTACTTACATCCCAATCATACTGGTTGTGTTGGGACTTAGACGTCCCATGCTATTAGTGTGCCGCTTCTGTTGCCAACAAAAACCCCATTCTAATGTCGGATGAAACGCAATCGCTCCTGCTCCAACTAGTTTCATTGACATATCAACTGCAAAAATGGTTCGGTTACAAACTGTCTAATGAAAGACATAGAAGGAACATACTCTGCAAAATATACTGCACGGAGAGAGACTGTATGTGATATGCCCGAATAAGCCTTTCGGCAGACGCAACGAACTGTCCAAACAGATCCGAATTAGCAAAAATGCGAACTAATCTAAAGCAAAGATGTAGGTACCAGAAGAGGACTTCTTGGATGGCAAGCAAGGCCAGTGACTGGCTTTTCCAGATCCGTCTTAATAATGGTCGCTGGTTTGGCACCTTCTATTGTCCCCACAACTACAACCAAACGTGACGCATCAAATAGTTTATCTTGATACAAGAAAAAGACTCACCATTTACACTTGAACGCCGATACGTTCCAAACAACAGCCACGGTCGAAGTGGTGTCAGAGCAATGTGTATCTCCATCTCTTCTGAGATCCTGTCTGTTTTCTTGGTCGTGTGCTCGGTATCGATCCCACGACTTAATGATCCTGGGAGGAAAAAGGTCTATGCCGAGAGCTGTATCATACCCCTAGAACTGTGACAATTACATGCCCGCCAGCAGTACTATATGCCAAAGCTCCAATATTGAGAGCTTACAGCCCGTGAGAGCATCAAACTCTGCAAGAAAATTCACCATCATCAGCCAACCCTCTCACATTCTTAGTAAAATTTCCGGATCACGCGAAATCCTCGCGTCAATTCGGAGAATTTAGCTCGGAAATCTCACCAGTGATGTGTTGCCCGACCGCAGCCGCGAAGAGCGCCTGAGAGTGATGAAATGCTCCACACTGTGGCCGAGCCCCATCGCCCTCGGCTCCCTGGACCTCCAGATACTGCCTCGCCGTCCACTCCATCGCTGCTAAAACCCTGTAAACCCCCTTAGACCTGCGTCAGACCTCTAGCGCCATCGCGTCGCTCCCGGATCCACCTCCACAAAACCTCGGGCGAAGCTCCTACAAGCTATACTATGAGAGAATTTGAGCTGGAACGCCATGATCTACGAGGAGCTTTTGTTTGAATCAATCTTTGCGAAAAACGTGATGATGTGAATGCCTGGAGACGCCTTTTGTGCTTTTGAACATGGCACCGCAGAAGAACGCGGTCTCCTGAAACACTGTACTTGCAGCATATGCCCAAGTTGGGCATATTCCCAAATCATCAAACGTGTGTTTTTTCTGATGCCTCACACATAGAATATTTCGATTAGGAACACACACACAACTCCCAGTCAGAATGTTGTCATCAAAGCTCAAACACTGTCCAGCAATATTTTGACCTATTTCCCAGTTTTAATGTAATGAAGAAAAACTCTTCGCCAGCCAATCTGATCGACTTCTCGACACTGGCAGCAATCAAAACGTAAAGACAAGGCTCACCAGTGAACAAGCTGGTTGCACTAAGTCGCCCAAGGCTGTGTGTTAGTGTTTGGAAACAGTCGTTGATCCAAACAGAGGAGGGATAGAGAAACTTTTTTTCCAATGTGAACTATAAAACATAAGGTATAGTCGAAAGGTGGAGTGAATGAAGAGATGCTTGGAACAAGAGGAAGAGCGAGCAGCAAGAGGCAACGAGTCTGCTGTTTCAAGAGCATGGGAGAGTTTGATGCTCTGGCCAATGATCTGGTGCTCGACATACTGTCAGCAGCTATAATCCTTAAAGCCGGGCGCGTCTGCAAGCGATGGCATCGCCTTGCACACTCGCAGGAGCTTGTGGCTCGCAAAACTGCCAAAGATCCAGATCCAGAGCCAGAGCCATGGGTTGTGCTACAAGTTGGCCAGCGCTTGCTCTGGTATACTTCACTGGACACTATCCTCAAAGACCATGGCAGGGAGCTTGATCATGGCTCCTTCTCCGTCGGTCCAGCGGGACACAGGTTTGTTTTCGTGGCGTGCTCGCTGGGGCTCGTCTGTGGGAGGCTCGAGGATCTGGACGAGGCTGGCGGCGAGGCCATGACTTTAGCTGTTGGAAATCCACTCACGAATGCGTGGAGAGTTCTTCCCCGGATCGATGTCAAGGAGGAGCCGTGCAGATACCTGATGATGGTCAAGAGATCGGGGCATTACCATGTCGCTGTAGTATTTGAGGAGTTCGTCATGGATTATCATTCCAAGTCGAAGGATTGGAAAGCTCGTCCTTCTCGTACAAAGGAGAGGGAGCTATCCTTTACGGGATGGAGGCTTACACCCAAGTTTGTATCGGAAGAGCTTCAACACAGGTTTGTATTGTGCGTGAAAAGATGTTCAATGAAAGTATTGAGTATCACCTTGAGGAGCGACCAACTTATTCAATCGTACTGGGGTGCGTTTGGCCAGGCAAGTGTTTTGATGGAGGGAGTAAGCGACATAGCCATTGCGTTCGTTCCTACGTTGGCACAGCCATGACTAAAAAGACGAAGATTTTAAGAAAACACACAAAAATCGATATTTAGGAATGAATCATGAAAAAGAACTTACGTTCATTTTGTGAGGAAACGAATGAATCATGAAATTTCACTATGTAAGCCTGAGAAAAAAAAACACATTAGAGAAAAGAAACTACTTAAAATGCAAACCTTGAACAAACACGAAGAAACCTTCGTGGCCAGACCATCAAATTTTGCAAAACTCCTATACAGATGAAGAAAAACAGAGCTAGATCAGTGGCCGAGAAAGGAAAAAACACGAGGAACAACCTGAGTTACTCGATCGATCCGGTGAAACACGCTCGAGCAGCGTAAAAACCGATTTTTTTTTCTCGGAGGGCGCTCAATCGACTGGGTGCTTGTCGTCGGCCTGCTTGGAAGTGTATTGCACGGCGAAGAGGAGGATCGAGAGGAGCGCGCTGACGACGAAGATGGCATCAAACCAGCGATGGTAGAAGTTGAACTGGATGTCGCCACCAAGCGCGTCGGTGATGATCGATCTGTACTCGCTGGCCAGGCTCTTCCGGATGAGAAGAATCGACGAGACGAAGTACATCCCCATGATCTCGGACAGGAACAAGACGAGGACGTTGCTGGAGGAGTTCCTGGCGCCGCCGCTGCTGGCGATCGAGAAGAACTTCATCAAGCTCTGGAGGAATCCACGCAGCGACATGGCGATCATCATCCCCACGAACGCGAGGGAGACGTACTGCGACCAGAGAGCTACGTTGAAGTTGATGTGGAAGATCCGGAGAAAGATGGCGATGGCGTTTGTGGCCGGATCCACGCTGCCCGTGTCGCGGAGGACGATGCTTTGGAGCGAGCGTAGCATCTTGTAGACGCAGTAGAGCGAAAGAGCGTATCCCCAAATGTTCTTGACGTGGCCCCTCCAAGTTCTCGAGTAGATCGCGGCTTGCTTGGCCTTCCTCAGCTCGAAAATGTCGAGAAAGAGCTGCCTAGAGAGCTCCTCCAATCCATTGATCTCCACCTCCAAGTTGTGGATCTGCTCGTCCTCGCTCACGGATCTCACCACCGTCCTCACAACCCGGCTGAAAAAGCTCGTCGATTTGGCCTCACCCTTGAGCAGCGATCTCCTCATCTCCGATTGAGCCAGGAGAATCCTCTTCTTCTTCTTCGCGATCCCCATCTCCAGCGCTTGCATGAGCTGTCGCTCCAGAGACGCGATATCGCTGTCCTGGATGTCGCGGATGAAGAGCGAGAGATAGCTGTAGGGGAGATCCACAGCTCCAAATCCGGCTAGAACAGCCATGACCGAGACCCCGATCACTCCCACCCGGCTCACCATCTGTGCAACCGTGAAGAATCCCTTGTCCGGCGATGGCATTGGGAAGTGGACGCCCATCCGCCAGAACGCGTAGAGGAATCCAAGCAAGAAGCACAATGCGGCTATGGCAGCCCTCTCCCGCCTGGATCCCTTGTTGCGAAAGACGAGATAGCAGTGGTAGTAGGGCAGCACGAATACCAGGAGCGCGACAATGCAGTAGAGATCCAGCTTCCAGTTGAGCCATCGCGCCTGGGGCGAGAGCAGCGGGACGATCTCGAAGAGGACGAGCTGCAAGAGATTGCAAGAGAGCGCGAACACGGCACCAAACAGGATCTGGACGAGCGCGCGCCGCTCCTCGTATTCCCGGTAGAGCTTGCGATTGAGGAACCAGATCCCGGACCATCCCAGCAGGGCCAGCGATGCCGCCATCGCCAGGCCCTCCCCCGCGTTCATCGCGAAAACCTAGAAATATTTCGTTTAGGGTCCTTAAAAAATATTTGCCAAAATATTTCTTAGCAATGCGGATATTCCTTTAGGGTTCTTAGATTTTGGCGATGGTGGGAGTGGCCGCCGTCAAAGACGTGGGATTCCTCCTCGATCGTCTCCTGGATCCCAAGCAGCCGATCTCCGAGCGCTTCCGGGCGCTGTTCGCCATCAGGAATCACCACGGCGATGCGTCTCGATCAGCGCTCATCGCCGCAATGCGCGATCCCTCCAATCTCCTGGCTCACGAGGCCGCATTCGCTCTAGGTCAGATGCAAGATCCAGTCTCCATCGCCGCACTACGCGAAATCCTGTGCGATGTCGACGGCGCGCACCCGATCGTCCGCCACGAGGCCGCAGAGGCGATGGGAGCGATCGGCGATCCCAGCTGCGTGGATCTCTTGAGGAGCGTGTGGCGGAGCGATCCAGCGCGGGAGGTCCGGGAGACTTGCGAGCTTGCTCTCCACAGAATCAAGATAAGTTCTTCCAATTCCAATCCCACGAACGAAGATCGAGTACCAAAGTTCTTGTCCGTGGATCCAATGCTACCAGCATCAGGCAAGCATTCTTTCTTCCTCCTTTCTCCTGGAATTCACCATGAAAACCTTTGTTCCAGGAGATTCAAGCACTTCCCAGCTCCGCCAGCTTCTTCTCGACGATTCTCTTCCAATGCACGAGAGGTACGCTGCGTTGTTTGCTCTACGCAACCGCGGAGATAAAGAATCCACCGACGCCATCGCCGCGGCGCTAGAAACATCCAAGAGCGCCTTGCTCAAGCACGAGGTAGCGTATGTTCTTGGCCAGCTCCAAGACATGGCCACAGTGGAGATTTTGGAGAGAACTTTGGGTGATCCCGGCGAGCATCCCATGGTGAGACATGAGGCCGCGGAGGCGCTGGGCTCCATAGCTGATCCAAACTGTGTGGAGCTCCTCACAAAGTTCTTGGATGATCCGGAGCCTATAGTTCATCAAAGCTGCGAGGTTGCTCTAAGCATGCTTGAGTTTGAGCAGCAGGGGAAACCATTTGAGTACCTTTTCCAGGAAATCAAAGTTGGCTCGGAGTAGCTTTCGTTCTAAAACTTGGCTCGATCAAATTTGGTTTTTCTTTTCAGTGTGAATCTTCTTTTTGACAGGAGAGAACTTTCACCTCGTCTCCAACAATCTCTATCACCTGAAGCGATGGCTTTTATCAGCGAAAAAAGATTGCGAGGAACTGATATCTTCGTTTCTTACTTGAGGTGTTGCGTTTAGAACACCCCGAGACATTCCCACGTCAATTCGCCACACCTTGCCATCACACTCACTGTAAAAAAAGAAGGAAAAAACTGATTTTTAGATCTAAAATGCGAGGCAAGGCAAGTACTTTACCTGTTGGCTCCGTTAACCTGTGGAGTGTGTCCAATAACCAGCCCTTTTGCCTTGACAGCATCCAAAGTTTGTTGAAGCACTGCACAAGCCTGAACACAAACAGAGAAAAAAATGAAAGATAATGGTGAACGAATTCCATGCTCACCTTGGGTTGTGGTATCTCTTTGGTTTTCCTGGAATACAATCTGCTCCATACAATGGAGTCGAAACCTTTGGTTGCTATGAATGGTTGCTTCCCATTGTAAGCTCCACCCTTCATCCAGTTACTCACTTCGCTGTTCATTTTCTCCAGGCCGTAAGCAACTGCATAACAATGCCAGTCATTACTTGAAGATCGACTTTATACGAGCATACCGTGGTGAGGTAGAAGGCCACCATGAGCAAAGAGCCAGTCGTTGATTTTCAGAACCACGCCATGCCTCGACAGCTCCAGTGCTAACGGACCCCCCGGACTGAAAAGCAAAACTCTCGCATCCATCTTCTTCCTCACCTGCTTTGCAATTCTCCAAAAGTAAGATTCGACGACCTTGAGCATAGCTTTACCTTGAAAACGTTCCAAAATGGTAACCAGGTTGAGGACTCGAATCTGCTCTTCTTCCACTCTGGCCATTCTAGTCTCCACTGCACAAATGCCGTATGCCAGTGGCCGTCATGTCGCTCGTTACAGTAGTCCACAAAATGCTGCGAGTCCTCGAATCCACAATCAGGTGTGTCGTTGAATTCATGGCTCACGTTCATTGTCTCGTGATTTCCATGTACCTGCATATAAAAACTACAAAGTTCCGTAATGCAAAGATACAAAATAAAAAGAGCGAAAGAGCTAGCTATCGTAGTATTGCAAAAACAAAACCTGAAAGACAGCCCCACCCTTGGAACGAGCTTGCTCGGTTAGATGCCACAGGAGTGACAGTATGGCGATTTCATCAGGACCACGGTCGAGGATATCTCCAACTTGGACAAGAACCTGCGACAATTCTCGTGAATATCAATCAGTAACGAACTCAACTGCACAAACAAACCGGACAATTCAGAGAGGAGAAGATAGCGTGACTTAACAGTGGTGCCTCCAGTCCAATTATCTTGTTCATCGTCGGATAAAACTCCGGCCACTCTCAATGCTCTTTTGGTCTGACGTAAATCTCCGTGCAAATCTCCAACTGCACAGAGAGAAAGAGAAGTTATCTGGGACAAAACATAGATTTTTTCGGCTTACCAGCGACAATGCGTCTCTCGGGTGCCGAAATCATAGTCGGAGGTTCCTTGCCATCCGTGTGAATTCCTTGGCGAGCACTAGCAGCGATGAATCTGGTGTTTTTGCTGAGGCCGATTGCTGCTAGCAGCCCCCAGCTTGATTTAAAGTGGAGCGTCGAAGAAGCTCTGGCATGGTAGCTACAAACACCAAAATCGAGCGCCACGAACCTTGGAGCACAGAGGCTGGCCTGCATTGCCTTGACGGAGCGAAAGAATGATACCCTAATGCTTGCCTTTAAAAAAAAGTGAGAAACCACTGGAAGAAACAATGTGAAACTCGGTGACAGCAAACGATAGAATTAGCATACGAACGAAATTTCTAAGTTCTTACTCAAGTTCTACTCCGCGGTTTGATGCTGCTGGTCCAGAGAAGATCACTGTCCGAGGAAACAGTGACTTTATCCGACGCGAACATGTTGGAAGTGCTAACCAGGCCTCCAAATTCCATGGAAGTTTGATCTGGAGAGGAAGGAAAAACAAAGTTAGAGAGAGTGAGAAGAATGGTGGAAGTATTTTACTCAAGTTCCATTTGAGTCCCGTGGTTGTGGCTGTGCAGGGTCTGCCGAGAGGAATGATCCCGCAATTCGGACCTTCGTGCTCGGGCGAGACGTGGATGGTGTGAAGAACGTCTCTGGGAAGCAGAAAGACCAAACTCTCATCGTTGAAAAGTATGATCCGGAAGCTCCTGAAAGAAAAGAGTACGTTGATGTTTCCCATCTCGTGATCAAATCTTCCACCCAACGCTCCCACCACCAAAATCTTCATCTGTTACGAAGAACACACACGCGGCAGTAAAGAACAAGCTAAACAAAGAAAACAACGAAGAAAAACGGCTAGAACAGTTCTAACATTGATACTTGCGGTGGTCTCGGCGACGAAAGAGATGCACTTGTGAAGATCTACCGTGTCTTGATCGTGAGATTTGTCTAGAACAGCAGTACCCTGAGAAGAAAAATATGAAACAAACTTTCCAGAGATCAAACGAGCGAAACCACATACTCTTGATTCGTAGAACTGCCTCACTTCCGGGAGAATGGAGTCCAAATCCCCAATGATCGCATCCGGTATGAACCTACACAAGGGAGAATCTCATCTCATCCATCTCTCGAATCGATTCATCTCACCTCTCTCTCACGATCGATTCCTCCTGTCCCAGCAGCAACGGAAGCTCGTTGTAGAGCCGATTAGCTCCTCCATCGGCGCACATTCGCAACCTAGCTGTAAGGAACAAGGGAAAACAATGCGACGCGCCATCCGCGAAAGATTTGGATCAAACCTCTCTGCCACAGCAATGCCGCCAGCGATGGCAGGCGATAGTTGAGGATCACAAGCACGTAGGAGCAGTCGGAGCTATGGGCGCCGCATCCACTGAGAAGCTCTCCCATGCAATGCTCCATTTCAAAATAGACGAAGACCTAGACAGGTCATACCGTACATCGGAAAGAAGCTTAAAACAGAGGATCATGCCGTACAGTGGTAACCGGACTAGCGCCCACTTGGACTTTCTCCCGAAGTCTCTTGCGAATCGCATCCGATTGCTCGGCTCTTCCCATCCTCTTCGCAGCGATGTCATACTCCTGGAGCCTCCCCACGGCGGCCAGCGTTCGTTTCTCCAGCTCCATCTCCAACTGGCGAATCTCTCCGCGGGAGATCGCAGCCTCACGGGCAATGGCCAGTCGAGATACCTAGAGAATGGAGTCACGAGAAGAGCTTTCCGGGTTGCGATGGTACCTGGTCGACGATATCGATCGACGCCGGCACCTACGATGAACCAGAAGAGAAATCCATGGTCGAGGAGGAGAAATTTCGAGAAAAATCTTAGCAATACCTGATTGCCGGTTGGAGCAGCAGATGCCGCGATGCTAGGAGGAACCTATAGAGATCTTTCTCGATGAGCGCCATGGAAGATCGCTAGAAAATTGTGCCGATACCTGATCGCTGGCTGGAGCAACGGCCACTGTCGACGCTGGAGTACCGGGATTTCGAGCCGTCGGAGGAGAACTCTAGAGATTTGGGAGAGATCGCCCATGGCATTCTCGAAATATCACAAAGATACCTCGTGAATCGGAGTACCAGGATGCGGAGGCAATGAGGAAGACGACGGATTGCCGGATCGCACCCTCTTCTTGCGAAGCTGGGATTTCGATACCTGGTTGCCGGTTGGAGCAGCAAATGCCGCGACGCTAGGAGGAACCTATAGAGATCATTCTCGATGAGCGTCAGGGAAGATCGCTTGAAAATCGTGCCGGTACCTGATCGCTGGCTGGAGGAGCAGCCACTGTCGACGCTGGAGCACCGGGATTTCGAGCCGTCGGAGGAGAACTCTAGAGATTTGGGAGAGATCGGCCATGGCATTCTCGAAATATCACAAATCCAGCTGAGATACCTCGCGAATGGGAGTGCCAGGAAGTGGCGCCAGTGAGTAAGACGACGCATCGCCGGATCGCACCTTCTTCTTGCGGCTCTGCGATTTCGATCCGCCCGCCATAGCTAGCTCTCTCTCACAAAAGTATAAGGGCGGCAATCTATTCAAACGAGCTTTCTTAGGGTTTATATTTCATGGCCCTCGTCGATATGATGACTAGCTCCGGCGATGGCGAGGTCTACCTCCGGCTCAAGGCCTTGGAGGACGAAATCAGGTACCACGACATCCGATTAGAGTGCACCGAGACGGAGATGAGATTCACGCGCCGCCAGATCCTTTTCGCGAAGGAAGAGGCAGCGAGGCTTCGATCCATGCCGCTATGCATAGGCCACTTGGTGGAGGTGATCGACGGGGACCACGCGATTGTCTTGTGGGAGCATACGCCGCGGTATGTTAGGATCCAGAGCACTGTGAACAGAGAGCTTCTCAAGCCGGGGAGCTCGGTTGGTCTAAACAGGCACTCGTTGGCTCTCGTGGATGTTCTTCCATTGGAGGTGGACTCTTCGGTGTCGATTCTCACGGATTCTCTCAGACCGGAGGTCACGTATGCGGTACGAAGTTCCTTCTTTTGTTTTCCTTCTCTTCTGTAGACAAACTTTACACCACCTTTGATCTAGTTTTCTTCCATTCAAGCTTATCATTTTTCTTTTCTAGAAACTTTACCAGATTTGCTAAAACTTTTCTTTGGTTTTGCAGGAAATTGGGGGCTTAGAGTTACAGAAGCAAGAGATTCGAGAAGCTGTGGAGCTTCCGCTGACGCACCCCGAGCTCTACAGGCAGCTCGGAGTTGATCCACCCAAGGGAGTTTTGTTGTATGGTGCTCCGGGAACTGGAAAAACCATGCTCGTCAAGGCTGTGGCACATCACACCTCGGCTGCTTTCATCCGGGTTGTGGCATCAGAGTTCGTGCAAAAATACCTTGGAGAGGTGAGTTCTTTCTACTCATTTTTTGTAAGCTCTCAACAGGAGAACGTTCGTGTCGAAACGTTGTGCAGGGTCCACGGATGATGCGCGATGTTTTCAACCTTGCCAAAGCAAATGCGCCAGCGATCATCTTTATCGATGAAGTAGATGCCATCGCCACTGCTCGCTTTGATTCTCAAACTGGCGCAGACAGGGAAGTGCAGAGAATTTTAATGGAGCTTCTTACCCAGGTTTTTCTTTCCTTTCCATTTTCTAAAAACCTTTGCTCAAAGCGTTCTCCTGCAGTTGGATGGATTCGATCAATGTCTCAACGTGAAGGTTATCATGGCTACAAACCGTGCTGATACTTTGGACCCCGCTCTACTGAGGCCTGGAAGACTCGACAGGAAGATCGAGTTCCCCTATCCAGATAGGCGAGAGAAGCGACTCATTTTCCAGGTTTGCACGTCCAGGATGAACCTCAGCGATGAAGTTGATTTCGAGGACTTCATTTCGAGGCCAGACAAGATCACGGCTGCCGAAGTAAGCGCTCATTAGGACTCTTGACAAGAAAAAACCCACGAACTTGTGCTTTCCAGATATCAGCAGTTTGTCAGGAAGCTGGGATGCAAGCAGTGCGTAGGAACCGATACATAGTTCTTGCCAAGGACTTCGAGAAAGGGTATAAAGCCAACGTGAAGAAATCCAGCAAGGAGATGACCTTTTACCAGTAACTGAGGTTGATCAAATTATTTGAAACCACTTTATCTTTACACAGAAAGCAGCTCTCTTGGGCTTCGAGTTCCTTAACTTGCCTTCGCAGGTCTCCAGAGTTACAGGCGAAGAGGCCTTTACTCACACAGATCTTATGAGACCACGTCCCTCCACACTGAATCTCTCGGCTTGCAAGTTCTCAGCTTTCCCCAGTGCTAACTTGCTTCACAGGCGAGTCGTAATTCCTCGTAACGCGTGCTTTCTGGAACAGTGCAGAAAGGGAAAGAAACCCAGCTTTAATCAAACTTTCAAAGCATACCCATTTATCCACGATGGTTTTTGTTGCTGCACGAAGTGACAAAAGATTCAACATGACATGCTAAATGATGTCAAAGTTAATCCTTTAAAACGGAGCGCGAAGAAGCTCTGGCATGGTAGCTAACACCAAAATCGAGCGCCACGAAGGCTTGCCTTGACGGAGCGAGAATGATCCCCTAATGCTTGCTTTGAAATCACTGTGAGAACAAAAGAAAGTGATAGTAGTGAAAGTGAAAGTAAGCGAGGAAACAGTGATTTTATCGAGAGGAATGGTGGAAGTACTTTACGAATTTGAGTCTTGCCGAGAGGATTTGGCCCTTCAAGCTCGGGCGAGACGTGGATGGTGTGAAGAACGTCTCTAGGAAGAAAATAGACCATGATCCGGAAGCTCCTGAAGGAAAAGAGTACGTTGATGTTTCCCATCTCGTGGTCAAATCTTCCACCCAACGCTCCCACCACCAAGATCTTCATCTGTTACGAAGAACACACACGCGATAGTAAAGAAGAAGCCAAACAACGAAGAAAAACGGCTAAACAGTTCTTACATTGGATTTCTCGGCGACGAAAGAGATCCACTTGTGAAGATCTATCGTGTCTTGGTCGTGAGATTTGTCTAGAACAGCAGTGCCCTGAGGAGAAACAAACTTTCCAAAAATCAAACGAACGAAACCAGACTCCTGATTCGTAGAACTGCCTCACTTCCGGGAGAATGGAGTCCAAATCCCCAATGATCGCATCCGGTATGAACCTACACAAGGGAAAATCTCATTCGATTCATTTTACCTCTAACAATTTCTTACCTCTCTCACGATCGATTCCTCCTGTCCCAGAAGCAACGACAGCTCGTTGTAGAGCCGATTAGCTCCTCCATCGGCGCACATTCGCAACCTAGCTGCAAGAAACAAGGGAAAACAATGCGACGCGCCATCCGCGAAAGATTTGGATCAAACCTCTCTGCCACAGCAATGCCGCCAGCGATGACAGGCGATAGTTGAGGATCACAATCACGTAGGAGCAGTCGGAGCTATGGGCGCCGCATCCACTGAGAAGCTCTCCCATGCAATGCTCCATTTCAAAATAGCCGAAGACCTCGTACATTGGGAAGATCAAGCCGTACAATGGTACGGACTAGCCGCCCATTCCCGCGGGCTTGGACTTTCTCTTGCGAATCGCATTCGATTGCTCGGCTCTTCCCATCCTCTTCGCAGCGATGTCATACTCCTGGAGCCTCCCCACGGCGGCCAGCGTTCGTTTCTCCAGCTCCATCTCCAACTGTCCGCGGGAAATCGATGGATCGGGGGCTTTACAAGAATGTTAATCTTACTTCCTTGTAACGCTTTATCAATATTGTTGTGAAATTGCATTCATTATCACATATTAATCATTAGTTGTCATTTTTTTTCGTTTTTGTTGTTCTTGTGTCTCTGCAAGAGGAAGTAATGAGCAAATGCTCACACTTCTATGATGGTTGTCTCAATGCAACTGAAAACAAAACATGTAGCTTTATAATGACACTCACCATAAGCATACCATAAAGTTAATATTTGTTGTTGGTGACACAACTAATATTTATCAAAATTTTATGTAAATAATAAACATATTAATATTGATTTTTAAACATTAATAATGTGTACAAAATAGTCAGGATAACATAAGCTCACACAAATAGCATAAAATTAATGTCATTCATAAACACATAAAAACATACATATAAGAAATGCAAAAATACAAATTAATAGATTCATTTGTCAAATCCATTCAACACACTAAGTTTTAAGAAATATTATATGACTCAAGAAAACATTTAAACTCTACAAAAGCATTGCCCTTTCTAAGTGCAGCTATGAACAATACATACCTGTTAATATTTCATTTTGTTGTGGATCTCACACCATATGAATCCTTCTTTGTTACTCATAAACCCCTAAACCTTAAACTTAAAAAATTTCAACAACTGTTATTTATTTGTAAGTATTAATCACTCACTAAAATAAACAACATATGAACAACTTTCAATTCACACACTTCTTAATTTAAATGTCCTCACCTTTTATAAAAAAAAGTGTAACAATTCTTATTATTCAACCATGACATTTATCACATTAAACAACACATGATACCAACTAGCCAAAATGAACCATTGTTCTATATGCTGATGTAAGCCCAAGACTTGCACATGTAAGCCTGAGGATATGTTACCGCATGGCATTGTGCCGTACAGCAACAATAATTAGACAACACCACGGGCTGCCCAATCTGGTTATACCCCTGAAGAATGACATTCTGCAAGTAAAAGTTCGACTGCCTGATCCCTCTGAATATCTGCTCTGCCTCTTCCAAGCTTCCACAGCGGCATACATGTCAACAAGCAAATTCGCCACGAACACATCCTCCCTGTAAGGACCCTAATCAATCTGGGCATGAACCCGCTTTGCTCTTGCCAAATTCCTGTCTCTGCTGCAGCTTCTGATCAACTGAGTAAGCAGCAGCCTCTCTTTCATGCGGTGGAGATCGCTGAAACAGACACAAGCCTTTGTAAAATGCGAAGTGACTAAAATATTGCCTTTAACAGAAATTTACACAAATGTGAAATAGGTATTATATAGGCCGGTTAAAATTGCATTTGAATATTCCATTTCTGTTCAAATGCAGCCGACGTGAGAATTTGACAGTGTCCAGTACATACTAGTTTACAAGATCAGTCAGTTAATATTTCGCTTCTTGTCAATTCCGTTGCGAAGAGTGAAAACATCTTATTCGGAAAGGATCCCCAAAGGACGGCCAAGAAAGTAGATACCGAGCATGGTGAAGCATGGAAGTGGCGGATTTGGACCATGCGTCGGGTCCCCACCCCAGACGCAAGTACCCTGATTTCACATCTCCAGATCTTCCTTTGAAGAAATGAGCCTGACGATTCCAACGGGTCACTTTAGTCATCTCGTGCGTGGAATCAATCTTTCTGTCTGCGAGAGCTGCTCTTCTTGACCTTTCTTCTCGGCCTCTCTTCCACCTCGCGGAACAAAGATTCATCGACAGTCTGGTAGCACGGGCTCTTTCCAAAAATCTCCTCAAACGTGTAGCCCTCGGATAGGACTTTGCGATGCAGCTAGTATGTAGCTCGCCCTTGATTTGTCTGCGCCTGGAAGTTGGAAGCATCCTCTTTTCGCCACAGCAAATGGTCAAAAAGTTTGGATCGGTTGGGTGTGGCTTTTGGCAGAGAGTGTCAAATGAGTTTCTCATGGATGGTAGCTGAACATGTAGATGGTTATGAATCTTTTGTTCAACGCGTGGCTGTCCACACATGATGAATGCCAGAGATGCACAAGGTACAAAATATGAACAGGAAGTTCTTTGTCAAAAGGCTGCAGCATCGGACCCGGAAAAGCATCCACCTTTGAGACTTTGAATGAAATGGACAACTTTTTCATGCACCACAATTTGAACGAAACACTAAGAAAGCTCAGGATTCATGTGAAGACTTGCTGGCTAGTGTCCTTTACTGCACAAACATCACTGCAAGAAATTGACACACTTAATCAAATTCCTGACCTTAAAATCTGACCAATTATAAAAGTGTTAGGTGATCAAAAAGTTTAATGTGTCCCGGATGGCTTATATGCCAGTCTGAAGTGCCCGAACATCTATCCCAAGCTGTCAACTCATTGTTGACAGCTTGGGGTCCCATTCACTGGGACGATTTCATCGACATATTCATACCAGGCTTCTCTGGCATGTGTGATGGTTTATATTCTGTGACCAGGAAGTGCGCTCAAAGTGAAGACTTGCTTGCTGGCTAGTGTCAGAAGGCTGCAGAATCGGTCCCGCATCGGATCCCATCCCATCCAATCGATCCCATCCAAAGTCTTAAAGGTGGATGGGATCGATTGACACTAGCCAGCAAGTCTTCACAATCTTGAGCTTTCTTAGTGTTTCGTTCGAATTGTGGTGCATGAAAAAGAATGGTATTGTCCATTTCATTCAAAGTCTCAAAGGTGGATGCCTTTCCGGGTCCGATGCTGCACTAAGAAAGCATCAATTCCTCTCCTAACTCTGGTGGAATTGAACCCTCCAGCATGTTGGCCTGGAGAACAAGCACCAGCAGTGATCCCATCCATCATCCAAAGTCTTAAAGGTGGATGGGATCAATTAACACTCAAGGTGGACATTGGCAGACATTGGACCCCAGCGCAACTGTCGTGTATGGAGAAGACTATAAGAATGGTATTGTCATTCTTATAGCCTTCTCCATGCACCACAATTGCGCTCAAGGGCCTGAGCCATATGGCATTCTGCGACATGCTGATGTTGCTGCTGCTGCTGCTGCTGCCAGTGGGACAAGCTTTGACCATCAATCACAGTGACCAGCAAATGCAGGCTTTGCTCAACTTCAAGTCCGGGATCACTGCTGATGCTTCAGGAGTCCTGGCGAACTGGACGCGCAAGAAGAAAGCTTCTTTGTGTTCTTCGAGCTGGAGCGGAATAATCTGTGACTCTGACAATCTCAGTGTTGTGGGTATCAATCTCTCCAACTGCACGCTTCAAGGTACGATCCTCCCTTCTTCTCTTGGAAGCATTGGTAGCTTGAAAGTTCTGAATCTGAGTCGAAACAACCTGTCGGGGAAGATACCACTTGACTTCGGCCAGTTGAAAAATCTGAGGACTCTGGCGCTGAACTTCAATGAGCTCGAGGGCCAAATTCCAGAAGAGCTTGGAACCATCCAAGAGTTGACATATCTCAACCTCGGGTACAACAAACTTCGCGGTGTAATACCTGCTATGCTCGGACACCTCAAGAAGCTCGAAACTCTGGCACTCCACATGAACAATCTCACCAACATCATTCCCAGGGAACTCAGCAACTGTAGCAATCTTCAGGTGCTTGTTCTCCAGGCCAACATGCTGGAGGGTTCAATTCCAGCAGAGTTAGGAGTGTTGCCCCAGCTGGAGCTGATTGCCTTGGGTAGCAATCACTTGTCAGGAAGTTTACCGTCTTCTCTTGGGAATTGTACCAACATGCAGGAGATCTGGCTGGGAGTCAACAGCTTGAAGGGTCCAATTCCAGAAGAGCTTGGACGATTGAAGAAACTTCAGGTGCTGCATCTGGAGCAAAACCAGCTGGACGGACATATTCCACTGGCCCTCGCTAATTGCTCAATGCTCATCGAGCTGTTTCTGGGAGGAAATTCCCTGAGTGGACAGATTCCAAGTTCCTTCGGTCAGCTTCAGAACATGCAAGCCCTCTCCCTGTATGGATCCCAAAGGCTCACCGGCAAGATCCCAGAAGAGCTAGGCAATTGCAGCCAGCTAGAATGGTTGGATATCGGCTGGTCCCCCAATCTGGATGGTCCTATCCCATCATCATTGTTTCGGCTTCCGCTAACCACATTGGCTTTGGCTGAACTCGGACTGACGAAGAACAACTCCGGCACTTTATCACCAAGGATTGGCAACGTAACAACGCTGACCAATCTAGACCTGGGAATTTGTACTTTCCGAGGAAGCATTCCCAAGGAGCTGGCAAATCTGACAGCGCTTGAGCGTTTGAATCTAGGATCCAATCTGTTTGACGGAGAAATTCCACAAGATCTGGGACGACTCGTTAATCTGCAGCACTTATTCCTTGATACGAACAACTTGCATGGAGCCGTACCACAGTCGCTCACAAGCTTGAGCAAGCTCCAGGATTTGTTCATTCACAGGAACTCTCTGTCCGGAAGGATTTCCCACCTGTCATTCGAAAACTGGACACAGATGACAGATCTGAGGATGCACGAAAACAAACTCACAGGCTCAATACCTGAGTCACTTGGCGACCTTTCCCAGCTCCAAATTCTCTATATGTTTAGTAATAGCTTCAGCGGGACAGTCCCCTCCATCGTCGGGAAGCTTCAGAAGTTGACTCAAATGGATCTATCCAAGAATCTGCTCATTGGAGAAATTCCTCGAAGCCTTGGGAACTGCAGTTCATTGAAGCAGTTGGACCTGTCAAAGAATGCCATTAGTGGAAGAGTCCCGGATGAAATTGGTACAATATGTAAAAGCCTTCAAACATTGGGAGTAGAAGGAAACAAACTGACTGGGAACCTTCCGGTTACCTTGGAGAACTGCACCTTGTTGGAGCGCCTGAAGGTTGGGAATAACTCACTGAAGGGAGAGCTTGGTATGAACATTTCGAAGTTGTCCTCTTTGAAGATCCTCTCGCTCTCACTCAACAATTTCCAAGGCCAGTTTCCACTGTTAAACGCAACTTCCATCGAGCTGATTGATCTGCGGGGGAACAGGTTTACTGGTGAGCTCCCTTCATCTCTGGGAAAGTACCAAACGCTGAGAGTACTAAGCTTGGGGAACAACAGCTTCCGTGGTTCCTTGACATCCATGGATTGGCTGTGGAATCTCACCCAACTTCAGGTGCTCGACTTATCAAATAACCAGTTTGAAGGATCACTGCCCGCCACCCTCAACAATCTACAGGGTTTCAAGTTAACACCGGAGGGCGATGCTGCGGATGCCGATCGACTATATCAAGACCTGTTCCTCAGTGTGAAAGGCAATTTATTTGCTCCATACCAGTACGTCTTACGCACCACGACTCTGCTGGATTTATCGACGAATCAGCTGACTGGCAAGCTTCCTGTAAGCATGGGCGACCTCGTTGGCCTTCGTTACCTTAACCTGTCCCACAACAATTTTAGTGGTGAGATTCCAAGTTCCTATGGGAAAATCACTCAACTGGAGCAGCTCGACCTGTCCTTCAACCACCTGCAAGGCTCCATTCCAACCTTACTCGCAAATCTCGACTCCCTTGCCTCCTTCAACGTGTCTTTCAATCAGCTGGAGGGTAAGATCCCGCAGACGAAGCAGTTTGACACATTCGACAACTCAAGCTTCATCGGAAATCTTGGCCTCTGTGGTCGCCCACTCTCCAAACAATGCCACGAAACAGAATCAGGAGCAGCCGGACGTGTGGGAGCTGACTCCAACGAAACCTGGTGGGAAGAAAATGTGTCACCTGTTTCTTTCGCACTGTCCTCCTCCATTAGCTTCTGCTTGTCGTGGTTGATGCTACGCTGGAGGCAGCTGTAAGCAGCCAGACGAGCTATCGAACCATCGTCCAAATGTTCATTGTACATACGAGGATCAGCTGGCCAGTTGCTGGTGACCAAGGTTCCTCAGATCACCACCTAATAGGAAAACCATGCGCATTTTAAAGAGCTGCACTTTTGTTCTTATCATCCTAGTGAAAAAGAAAACGCAGTTTGTCACTGCGGCTTGTACGAAGATCTGCTTATTGGAGAGGATCAAGTAGGATGATCACCATATCACTTATAATATCACATCACGTTATTGTCACCAAAAGAATAAAACGTTGAAACACTTACCGAACCCCCAGGAGTTCTTTCTAGTGGCTTATTGAAGTCCCATAACACAATTGCAAGGAGCTTTGATCATAAAGTTCCCAAGACAGGTTGTTCACGTAAAATGATTTCCTCTACAGAAATCCATCCGGAAGTTTCATGAGGCCCTTCCTAAACTTGCTCAGCAATCATTGAAGCCAAGGGCAGAAGCCCCTCAAGATCTCACCTTCAAAAAAGCCGCAAGAAAGAGACCGCCGCTTTCAAGCAACTCAGCTTTACTACTGCTCCCAGCTTCTAAAAAAATATCGCAGTTGATGGGATACATATCTCCTTCGCTTTTTCCCTTCAAAATGAGAAGCTAAACGATGCCTCAAGGATGACTGACAAGTACCCAGAGGCCAGTGCCAACAGAGTGTGTCTTCTCTGTTCCAAAGTTCCATTATTCGGCCACATTGTGCAAGTCTGGGATTGAAGGTGAAGAATATCATGCCAGACTGAAGTAAGTGCCTAAAATCAATTTCTGTAAGTACAGAGAGTATCACACACTAGGTGGTTTGTTCCAAGTTGAGAATCCTACCTCAGACCTTTACCAAAACCCTGTCACATGCCAGACTAACCAGGAGACTGGCCACAGTCTGGTGTCCACGGACATGCAACTAGATGAATGAAATGTGAAAACCTGGATCAAATTCAAGATCGAATGACAAAACTCACCACCTTATTGGCGCCTCCAGCAGCAGCAGAGAGATGAGAAGAATCACAGGCGCCATAAGCTGCACAATGGCCATGTAAACCTAATCTCTGTGATCGCTGTGTCTGCCGGATCCTGGGACCAAGTGAATCTCGGAAATCCCTAGTTTGCACCTATTGCGGTTTGATGGCGTCACCTGGCCTGATTATGTTGTTGTAAGAGATTTGTAACGGATTTGAGTGGTTTCAATTCTACCACTAAGTCCTTTGGTAAATTCAACCATGATCCAGGAATGTGGATTTGTCAATCCAGCTCAGTACTTGGCCACGCCCAAACAGTGCATAGCTGCTCAAGAACCTTAATCTTGCTTTGTACCAGGGAGAATATTCATTGAGATTTTTTAGGGAAATTATATATATACCTCTTAAATTTGGCTTAATTACAAATTTTCCTTTGTTGAAGTTTTTAAAATTATAAAATTGTTCTCATTGTGAGTGCATGGAATATAGAAAGGGAATACAGAAATGTGCATATTAATTAACCCAAAAACCCTAGTTTATATACAAAAGCAAGTGGTCCGGATTGAAATAAATCCAACGGCTATCAAAATCCCATTATGCTAATATTAATATACGGCATCATAACCGTACACTTAACCCTCACATCATCCCCTCCTCTCGGAATAATGGAAGGTTGTCAAGGTTCTCTTGTAGATGGGCCGGGATCTGGAGGAACGTCAAAAGGAGGCATTGGCGGGTTTGTAAATGGTATTAATTGCTCTTGATCCCTTTGTATGAAGAG